TGTGTGTGTGTGTGTGTGTGTGTGTGTGTGTGTGTGTGTGTGTGTGTGTGTGTGTGTGTGTGTGTGTGTGTGTGTGTGTGTGTGTGTGTGTGTGTGTGTGTGTTTGAGCGTGCGCCTGTAATGTCTGCGTCTGCTGGGGGGCAACCCCGAGCGACCCGGATCGGCGGCACTGGCTGAAGGCCACTTGAATATCCGCAGCTTTGGACACAATTGAGCCTCGGGGGCCTCCAGGGCCCGTCTTGGGGCAGTCTTGAGCTGTGTGGAGCCGAGAAGAGGCTGCCTGTGACCGTCTTGGCGGGCTCGAGGACCGTCTCGGAGCCATCATCGGCCGCCTCGAAGCCATCTTGAAAAGTCTTGGCGGCCGCAGCCGACCGTATTGGGCCATTATGGGGCCATCTTGGGGGATCCCTGGGGCTCCAGTCCCCCCATGGGCCCATGGGGATTCGAGGCACTTGGTTTTGGCCCCCGGGAGGCCTACACCGTTAATATACATACACACACATATCTCTATGCATGTATATACAGATATATATATATATACATGTATATATTATATACACATATGATACCAGAGAAAAACCAATCAAACTATTTTTAATATAGGGCTATGGGGCTAAAGGGCTATAGGGCTATAGGGCTATAAGGCTATAGGCCTATAGGGCTATAGGGCTAGAGGGCTAGAGAGCTATAGGGCTATAGGGCTATAGGGTTATAAGGGTATAAAGCTATGGAGCTATTAGGGCTATAGGATTATAAAGCTATTGGGGCTATAGGGCTATAGTGCTAGAGGGCTAGAGGGCTATAGGGCTGGAAGGCAATAAGGCTCTAGGGTTACAAGGCTATAGGGCTACCGGGCGGGCACCCGGGCACCCCCGGGCACGCCCGGGCACCCTGGCACCCGGGCACCCGGGCACCCCCGGGCACCCGGGCACCCGGGCGTGCCGCGAAAATCGGCGGCAAACCTAACATAACCATATGAATCCGCTAGGACCCCTACAGAGGCAAGCTCTGATTGGGGAATATATATATATATAGAGAGAGATACAAGACTACATCGGCGCTTCGCGCCATGCACCTTGGTCCTTCAAGTTTGACATACATGCCTGGTCAACGCCATATCGGCGCAACCCTCACACGCTGCGTGGCCCATAAAAAGCTCCATCTAAGGCCCCAATGCCAGGGCCCGCATGCCTGGTCCACACCATTCCGGCGTAATTACCCTTCACACGCTTCGTGCTCCCACAAGGAGCTCCACCTGAGGCCCCAGTGGCTGGGCCCGGGTGCCAGGTTTTCACCATTCCCGACCCCAAAGCGGGGGCGTCACCGACACAACTACGGTACTCACACTGCATATAGTTGGGTCCTTCGCCAGGCTAAGTGTCGTTTTGACTGTGGGAATGGTTGTACTGGAATTGGTACCGATACGTGAACTTACAATGGTAGTGGCCATGCATGTGGCGAGGCCAACGAGAATGGCCATGGTAGCGGTGGTGGCTGCAGGTCGCCATCATAAGCGCAATGGTAGTAGTACTACTCGGATACTCCGATGGTGGGACAAGCGAAACAATAAACACAACACACATAACAAAGGCACTTCAAATCAAGATACACCATGGCACATACATCATGACACATGAACTACACCGCATCACCACGAGAAGTGCCAAGGTAGTGACGGACCAGGAGAAACTGCCCCGCTCCACCTCGAAGCCACTCAAACGCCAGCAACTGCAGTCGGGGCGCTGAAGAAGGAACCCTTCTCGTTGATGGCGGGGCTCGGTGTTCCTTGATTGATTTACAGTTTGCCTCATGTGTTCCTGAGGTTTTCCATGCCAAGTTGAGGTTTAACTTATTTAGGGTTCCTTATTTAGGGCTCGTTCCTTATTTCCCTTGGGAGAATTCCCTATCTAGGCCTCGTTCCTTATTTAGGGTTTCTTATTTAGGGCTCCTTATTTAGATTCCTTATTTAGGGCTCCTTATTTAGGTTTAAGTTGGGAAAAATGGGCCTCGTTCCTTATTTAGGGTTCCTTAGGTCCACGCCCCGACTGTAGCACGACGCCAGGATGTCAGGAGCGCAGAGGAGCCGGGGGCGTCCAAGAGGGGGGGCGCTCCGCGGGGGCTCGCAGCGCATGGCCCGAGGCATCTGCGCGGACGCCGGGAGGAACAAACGACGCAGGTCGACGAGGAACAGGGGGCCAAGGTATAGGGAGAGAGTGAGGAATAGTAAGAATCCAGAGGAAGAGCAGCAATAATCAAGAAGAAGAACAGGGAGGAACAAAGGACGCAGGTCGAAGAAGAGCAGGGGACCAAGGTAAAGGGAGAAAGTGAGGAACAGTGAGAGTCGAGAAGAAGAGCAGTGAGGATCAAGAAGAAGAGCAGGGAGGAACAAAGGGCGCGAGCAGAGACGAAGAGGGAGGCATCATGGCGCTGGCCACGACACCCGCCCCTCATGGGTCATCACCCCCCGCTCGGTCGCCCCCGCTGTCGGGGACGCGAGGGAAGAGGCCGCCGTGATTCGCCCCGCGTGCCGGGGCATCTGGGCACCCGCAGGCCGGCAGGGAGAGCTCGAAGAGGAGGGTCGCGACGCCCTTCCAGACCGCCATCTGCTCGGACCCCGGGGCCCTGGCTGGCGCCGCCGGCGCCCGTCGCGGCGGGGGCTTCGCAGGTCGACCCGGGGAGGGGGAGAGAGGAGGGGAAGGAGGAGGAGGAGGAGGACGAGCGAGCAGAAGGAGGAACCGGAGGAGGAACCGAAGGGATGGAAGGAGGGAGAGGAGGACAATGAGAAAGAGGAGGAAGAGAAAGAGTAATAGGAATGGAGATAGAGAGAGAGAGAGAAAACCCAAAAGCTATATCTACATGTGTAAATGTATGCATGGATGTATGTATGTATGTATGTATGTATGTATGTATGTATGTACACATCTATATGGTTATGTATATGCATATGTGTATATGCAGATCGATGCACAGCTATATATATAGAGAGAGAGGGAGAGAGAGAGAGAGAGAGAACAAACAAATGGAGGGGGAGAAAGATGGAGGGAGGAAGGAGAGTAAGAGAGAGGCAATGAACAACAACAACAACAACAACAACAACAACAACAACAACAACAACAACAACAGCAACAACAACAACAACCATTCTAAGGCTGTACGCTCTTACTTGCCCGCGAATCATTCAACACGTATACCCTACACCCTCGATGCCCGCCCTCTTCGTCTTCGATCACACCCCTTTCGGGGGGATTAGTTCTCTTTGCTGGGGCCGGCGGGCTTAGACGTACGGGCAAACCGGAACGGGCGGACAATCCTTCGGGGGCGTACATCTCTCTGCCCGCCATTGGAATTGGCGCGGGCCCTGCAAGAGGAGGAGGGGAAGAACGAGGGAGAGTGGGAGGAAGGGGAGGGGGAAGGACGAAGGAAGAGGGAAAATACCACGTTGTGAAGGCGTCCTTGGCGCGTGCGTGGTTCCTGAGCGCCGAAACGCAATTCCAGAATAATTTGTGAGGACGTCGCACGCGAGAGCGCAGTCCTGAGCACATTGTGAGGAAATCTCGGGCGGGAGCGGGGGCCCTGACTAAGTTGCAAGGAAGTCTCAAGCGGGAGCGCCGTTCCTGAGCAAATTGCACGGAAGTCTCAGGCGGGAGCGGGGGTCCTCACTAAATTGCGAGGAAGTCTCAGGCGGGAGCGCCGTTCCTGAGTCAATTGCGCGGAAATGTCAGGCAGGAGCGGGGGTCCTGAGTAAAATTCGAAGAAGTCTCAGGCGGGAGCGCCGTTCCCACGTAAATTGCACGGAAGTCTCAGGCGGGAGCGGGGGTCTTGATTACATTGCGAGGAAGTCTCAGACGGGAGCGCCTTTCCTGAGTAAATTGCGCGGAAGTCTCAGGCGGGAGCGGGGGTCCTGAGTAAAAATCGAAGAAGTCTCAGGCGGGAGCCGTTGTTGTTGTAGCCCGGGGGGCAGGGGCACAGTTTGAGCAGGAAGACTTTCCTTGAGAAAAAACAAGGTGCGAGCCCCGGGGGTGGCACTTCAATCGAAAAAAAACAATGTGCACCGGTGGGGGGGATCAACAATAGTTATTCTTCAAGAATGAGAGTTCAACAACAACAACAACAACAACACCACCACCACCAACAACAACAACAACAACCACCACAACCACAACCACAACCACAACCACAACAACAACAACAACGACGACGACGACGACGACGACAACAACAACAATCATGTTGCCCTCATGTGCGATGTTTCCACACGAAACATGCGACCATCATGGTAATCATCCACATCATGGGGGACTCTTGTTCTATAGCGGGGTCCGTTATTCCCATTCCCAGATCTCCCGCCCAATGAGGTCTTGCAAACACCTCCTCCGAGGAATTTCAACATATCCCGCCTCGAAAACACATGCCCGCGCCTTGCTGCGCCGATGCGAGACCGCCAGTGGAACCCCAGCGAAGGGTAAAGCACAAGAAAGTATCGAACGACAGGATTGCCTTGGTGGGGATGGGGGCTGTCGGCGGTGAGGTAAGGACCTGGCCCTGAATAGAAAGGGAGGAAGTCTCGAGCAGGGCTGTTGTTGCTGGGAGCGGCGCCAATGCTGCAGAGAGTAGGGCGCTAGTCCAGCGTAAAACAAAACGAAGTCTCGAGCGGGAACGCTGGTTTTGTTGGGACGGCGACTTTCGGCGGCGAGGAGGAACACCGCCTTGAGTAAGAAAGGAGGAAGCATCGAGCGGGAGCCGTGGTTTTGTCGGGACGGGGGCTGTCGGCGGCGAGGAACAGCACCGTCTTCAGGAAAAAGGGAAATCTCGAGCGGGAGCGTTGTTCTTGCTGGGAGCGGCGCCAATTCAAAACAGAGTAAGGTGCCAGTCCAGCGTAAAACGGAAGTCTCGGGCGGGAGCGCTGGTTTTGTCGGGGCGGCGATTTTCGGCGGCGAGGAGGAGCACCGCCTTGAGTAAAAAAGGGAGGAAGCCTCGAACGGGAGCGTTGTGTTTGCTGGGGGCGGCGCCGATGAGAGAAAGACTAGCGCGCCAGTCCAAGGTAAAACGGGAGGAATTCTCAAGCGGGAGCGCTGGTTTTGTTAGGACGGCGGCTTTCGGCGGCAAGCAAGAACACCAGCCCTGAATAAAAAAGAAAGAAGTCTCGAGCGGGAGCGTTGTTGTTGTTGTTGGGGGGCCAGTTTTGGCGGTCCCCCAAACCGCTCGAGCGTGAGCCTCATTCTCAATGAAAATGTAGCCGGCGCCTCGGCGAGAGCGCCAGGGCGCCTGTAAGGGGCCCAACAATAATAATTGTTTAGTCATGAACTTTCAACAACAAAAAGCGGAAGAGGAGGAGGAGGAGGAAGGGGAGGAGGAGGAAAGAGGGAGGAGGAAGGAGGAGGAGGAAGGAGGAGGAAGGAGGAGGAAGAGGAGGAAGAGGAGGAAGAGGAGGACCGAAGAGGAGGAGGAAGAGGAGGAAGAGGAGGAAGAGGAGGAAGAGGAGGAAGAGGAGGAAGAGGAGGAAGAGGAGGAGGAAGGAGGAGGAGGAGGAAGGAGGAGGAGCTTCGGCGCGGCGGAGACCACCCCGCCCCGCCCGCCGACCCGCGGCAGACGGAGGGGCGCGGCGCCAGCTGCTCGGCCGAGCCGCCCCTCCCGCCCGGGATCCCCGAGCGCCGACCGAAACTGTGCACGGGCTTCACGGATTGAGGGCGGGCCGTCTTCAAAATGCGGCGCTCGCCTCAGCGCCGCGCACATTCGTTCAACAAAACTTGCAGGAGCTTCAAGGGTTGAGGGCGAGTGGTTTTCAAAATGCGGCTCTCGCCCTAGCGCCGCGCACACTCGTCTTAAACATGTGCAAGAGTTTCACAGATTGAGGGCGAGTCGTTTTCAAAATGTGGCTCTCGCCTCAGCGCCACGTACCTTCCTTTTCTTAAATTGCAAGAGCTTCACGGATTGAGGACGAGTGGTCTTCAAAATGTGGCTCTCGCCTTAGCGCCGCGCGCATTCGCTTCAAACACTTGCAAGAGTTCCACGGATTCCCATAATCAACGTACCAGAAATGGTGTCTTGAAAGGATTCCGGATTATGCGGGTGCAACAGTTACGTTGGTTCGCTGTGCTGAAGTCCTATGAATGGCGTTCTGGCACGATTCAGGATCGCCAAGACGCAACAGTCAGATTGATCCTTGGTGCTGGAAGCCCGAGAGCAATGTTTTAGCATGCTTCAGGGTCTTCAAACGGGTGTCTTCCAACGAGGCAGGTCCATCAATGGAAATGAACCGTCGTACGGGGCCTATGCAGAGGGAGCTTGGTGGGAGGGCGTACTCCAACATCGTTGGTGACTCTTGGGTTTACACTGCTCCTCCTCCTCCTCCCCGTCCTCCTCCTCCGATTCGCATCACGTGACGGACTCAAGTCGCCTATTCTTTTGCTGCGGCTTGGCTGGACGCCCTCCTGGCCTGGCCAGGTCAGAAAGAAGAGAATCGGTCTGGGATGAAGATGATGGCAGAGAAAAGTCGCAGGCCTAGAGGGAGACATCAACACCAATATCGGTGGTGTGCCTCCACCGAGGGAAGAACGTCCCGACCTCGGTGATGGTGGTAATATTCGGGCTTCCAAAGTGACCGAAACATTACCACCAACTCCGAAATCTAGGATCATCTCCCCCCTGTGGAAGCAACCCCTGGTGTCGGTGTTGGTGCCCATTTCCAGGCCTCCAGTAAAGGGTATGAGCAGCAGCATTTGGATTCAGTGAACAAGAAGTACCTTCGGCCGCCTGCGTCTAGCGAAGTGGGAACGTGTTGTCGCCGCAGCGCCTGGGCTACCAAGCCAACACGCCGCAAGCGTCCTACGAAGCAGATTGCACCCTGCAGCCTACTTTGTGGCCCTTGTGAGGCCATCTTGCGCCCCTGAAAACTTCTCACACCCTGAAGCCTGCTTCGTGGACCTCTTGGGGGACCTCTTGGAGCCCTGTCGGGGGGGCTTTCGGGGGGTCGTCCAAGAGCCCTCTTGTAGATGTTCTGGGCCCTCTCAGAACCATCTTGGATCATCTCAGGTGTTTAGGCGCCGCGACGAGCTCTGGGGAGGGATCGAAAGCATGAACAATACTGGAGGTTTCCAACAATTGCCCAGTGAATGAGCAATTTCCGCATCGGGCTCCCTATTGCGATCGGTTACTGGTACGGAATTGGTCAAGTGATGAGTTTGCCCTGTGCTCACAGAAATGTTGGGCGGCTGCAGGACCACACGGCAGGTTCCGGATTGCGTGCCGCTGCTGATACGGAAACGAAGAAGAATTCAGGATTACGTCCCGATCGTGATGCGGAATCGCTACTGCACGGCTGCGCTTCCGTGTTTCGTGGGTTTAGGGGCGCCTAACCTCGCGCTCGCGCGCTCTCGCGAAGCTCGAGAGCGCGAGTGACTTCGCGCACTCGCGCCGCCCCCCAGGGGGAGAGGAGGAGGATGGGGAGGAATCGGAGCCGAACCGCGAAGCGCGAGGGCGCGAAACAGCTTCGCGCCCTCGGAGGGCGCCGTTCATGAGTGGTTCGTGGCATGGGCCCCCATCCTGGATGAACCAATTGCTGCAGCCTGGGGCTCGTGGTTTGGCGGCCCCAGGGGCCCGGGCCCAGGGACACTCCCAGAAGTATACACAAATCCCAGGATCCCCCTATATGTTTCCGTGTCTTCTTGATGCTACATCTCAGGATCCCCCTAGATTTTTCTATAGCATCCCCCCCACTTCCCACATGTTCCCACCTCTTCCTGTGGATCGACGGTTCTTTGCGTCTACCCCAGGATCCTCCTCTACTTATATGTCTCCACATGTTCTGGATGGTCGTCTTCCCCCCCACTTCCCATATGTTCCCACCTTCTCCTGGGGGCCGAAGACTCGTTGTGCCTGTGTGCTCCTCTTCCTCCCGAAAACAGTCAAGAGACACATGCAATCCAAATTGCTGCTCGACCCAGGAGATCCGCCCAGGCAGGCAGCAGAAACGGCACCGATCCTGAGCTCTTCGGCTCTACCGCGGGGCGGGATAGACAGCAGCCTCGGATCGGGACACCTGACTACCTACCAAACCACCCACCCAACCCAACCCGAAGACCCGAATTCGACCGCAATTTCGGGTTGGGGGGGTACCGGGTCCATGTGGTTTTTCAATGTTCCCCAACCCCCCACACACTGGAAGTGGAGGGCAAATTGAGGCCTTCGGGTTAGGTTGGGGTGGTTTGGTGGGTGGTGAACATCGGATCGGATCGAAACGTGCGTCGGATCAGGCCGCATCGGCACGGAGTCGGGGTCGAATCGGACCGGCGCCGCGCCAGCACGCACAACAGCGCCATGCAATCACCGGGCCGCATCGGATCTTCGGACTACCGGCATCGGATCGGCTCGAAACGGCTGGCATCGATATCGGACCGGACCAGTCGGATGGAAATGTCGGGCTCCTGAGCCATCACTCGGGTCTCCGGCGGACGATCGGGACAATCCGGATTACTCCAGAGAGCTCGCGACGAGGCGCAGCTCTCGGAAAGCATCCCGAGGCGAGAAGACCGCCGAGACCCAGCGAAAACGTCTTCCTCGAGTTTGATGTCGAATCGGATCGATCGGATCGAGGTTGGACCCTCCAGGCGTCCTCCACCTCACGGTCAGAAGCAGCTCGCCCACGAACCACAGCGTGTGGAAGAGCACCAGCGCCGTGGCCGCCACCAGAACCCAGACCGCAGCCTCCCTCCCACTGCCCCTCTACCCCCCCATCTGCTCTCCCCACTCCCCTCCCTCCCTCTCCCCCCCCCCTCTCCATCCTGCCACGATCTCCCTCCGACTCCCTCGCCCCCTCGCCTTCCCTTCTCCCCCTTCCCCCCCAGGAGGAGAAGGAGGAGGAGGAGGAGGAGTTGGAGGAGTTGGAGGAGGAGGAGGCCCCCTCCCCGCGGCCGAGCCGCCTGGTAGATGGGACTGGACTTCGGCGGAAGCGCCCGCGAGATCCCCTCGTTCGCCTCGCCCCTCCTCGCGGCTGCGCGCAAGGGGGTGGCCCCGGGCACGGGCGGCCTTTGGTGCGCGGCCTCTCTTGGGCCGCGGGCGGCGGGCCACACTCCGAGCGCGCCGGCCAGTGCTGGGGTTACAGTCAACCAGTGTAGTTAAGGACTATTTTTGAATACAGTCATCGGCCTGACCTAAGGAACAATAAATAAGGAACGAAGCCCCTTTTTTATACCAAGGAATAACGCATAAGGAACGATAAATAACAAATAACGCAAAAGGAACTGTACATAACGCATGCAAATCTAAGGAACGACCGAGCCCCTTTTGAAAAGCAAGTGTTCCTTATTCAAGCCGCTCGCTGTATTCCTCCTGCAAAGGGACACGCCTGAAAACAGCAAGTGTTGTTCAAAACCGACAGCGGCCGCCGTTGGGCATGCGGCCTTCTGCCTCACATGGACAATGCCCGCGCCAGCACCCACAACGAATCCTCTTCAAAATGAGAAAAGATCGCTGCTGGTCATCGTAAAGTCAACCAGTATAGTAAGGATGCGCGATAAGGATGCAAGGGCCCTGGACGCCCATTTCGAAGCTTCTCGAGCGGGGCGCGGCCAGCGAGAGCGGCGAAGGATAGACCGAGGAGGCAAGGATGCAAGGATACCCTTGGGAAGGTTGCCCATCCTTACTATGCGGGTTGACTGTAAGTCGGGCGTGTCCCTCTACAGAAGGAATATACAAAAAAATCATTTAGAAAATAATATGGGGGCGATTTGTTGACTATTTATGGCCATTTGGGTGCATTCTTTGCCTTTTTTCATTTTTTCTTCCAATATCCGCCTGTAGGGGAACAGGCCCGACCTAATGCTGGGGAGCCCCCACATGGCCCCACACCAAAGGCCACGATGGCGAAAGTCAACCTTACGCAGATCCCCTCCTCGAGGCCGTGAGGAAGCCGACCGTGTCTCGCCGGGCGGGCGCCTGGGGGAGCGCACCCCACGGAGGCGGACGTCATGGCTGAGGCACGAGCATTCGCTTCGACTGCACTTGCCTCCGAGGCGGACGTCGAACCGTATGTTCCTCCTCCATCTCATCCTGGTCCCCATCCTCATCTCCCACGCTCCTCGTCCTCGTATTCCTCCTCCCCTTCCACCACCTCCTCCTCCTCCTCCTCCTCCTCCTCCTCCTCCTCCTCCCCCCTCCTCCTCCCCTCCTCCTCCCCCTCCTCCTCCTCCTCCTCCTCCTCCTCCTCCTCCTCCTCCTCCTTCTCATCTTCATCCTCATCCTCCTCCTACTCGTCGTCGTCGTTGTCATCATCAACAACAACAACAACATCATCATCATCATCATCATCATCATCAGCATCATCATCATCATCATCATCAGCCGCAGCAGCAGCAGCAGCATCATCATCATCAGCAGCATCATCATCAGCAGCATCAGCAGCATCATCATCATCCTCATCAGCATGATCATCATCAGCATCATCATCGTCATCATCAACACTACCACCATCATCATCAGCATCATCATCGTCATCATCAGCATCATCATGGTCATAATCATCAGCATCATTATCATCATCATCATCATCATCATCATCATCATCACCATCATCATCATCATCATTATCACCATCACCATCATCATCACCAGCAGCATGATCATCATCACCACCACCACCATCAGCATCATCATCAGCAGCAGCATTAGCAGCAGCATCAGCAGCATCATCCTTGTCATCATCAGCAGCATCAGCATCATCATCATCAGCCGCATCAGCAGCATCATCAGCCTCATCATCATCAGCAGTATCATCCATCACCATCATAAGCATCATCAGCATCATCACCAGCATCAGTATCATCATGATCGTCATCATCGTCATCATCAGTATCATCAACAACAGCAGCATCATTATCATCATCACCACCATCATCATCACCACCACCACCATCATCATCATCATCATCATCATCAGCAGCAGCAGCAGCAGCGGCAGCATCCTCATCATCATTATCATCATCATCACCATCATCATCATCATCCTCATCCTCATCCTCATCCGCATCACCATCATCATCACCACCACCATCATTACCATCATCCTCCTCCTTCTCCTCCTTCTCCTCCTCCTCAGCATCAGCAGCAGCAGCATCCGCATCCGCATCATCCGCACCCTCATCATCCGCATCTATCATCCTCCTCGGCCATCCTCCAATTATCCCTCCTTGTAGTCCCCCGTCGTCTCCTCCTCCTCCTCGTCCTCCTCCTCCTCCTCCTCCTCCATAAACACTCCTCCTCCCCCAAAGGATGTATACCCGTGCCGCAACCCCCTGCATCCTCTCGCACCAGTACGCTCCGACCACGATACCCCGAGGCGGGCCCCGCCCGTGGGAAGACAAGGGGCCCCCCTGGGAGGGGAAAAATGGTTCTGGCATCTGCCGGGCGGGGACGTACCAGCTCCCCTCGGGTCATCGAAAAGTCGTGACGGGAGATATATCGCTATACTCGGCCTCGGGTGGCCCTGACTGGGCCTCAGAACCGTCGAAGAATGACTCGGGATGAGAGTCCGGTCTCGGGGAATGAGTCGAGACCTCTGGGGGTCGACGCTCTGACAAACCAACAAAAAAAAAACACGACGTCGGGGGTCTGGGAATCCGGCTCAGCGCAGTCTCGGCTCAGTCAATCTCGGAGAAGCTGCGCTGCAATGCTTCCGGGGGCTCCCCAAATCTGGCGTCAGGTCGGGCATGTCCCCCTACAGGTGGATTTTGGACGAAAAATTAAAAATAGTCCCCCCCCCCACCCCAAAAAATACATTGGTTTTGACTATTTTTGAACTGTCCTCCTGTAGAGGGATACGCACGACTTAAATCTGGCGCAGCCAACATGCAGGGCCACCTCCAGGGCCGCGAGCGGCTCCTCGACCTGGCTCGGCGAAGATTCGGCCGCGCAGGACCCCTGCAGCAGCCGGCGCTCTGGCTGAGCCCCGCTGGCGGTGCTTGCCAGCGGAGCCAGCATGTTTTGCTGCACGGCCGTTAAAAAATGTCCGGAAAAGTGTCATTTTACCCACGCGGGCCAGCTTCCCAGAAGTGTCTTAAAACAAGCCTGGGCCAACTTCTGTTGCTGTTTTAACGCTAGAAGAACGAGCCTGCTCAAGAAACTGGGCCAATTTTCCGGCAAGCCGGTTAATTCGGAGAAGACGATGAGGGTGGATAACCAAGGGGCGGGCGTTACACGTTTCGGGGCCCGGCACTAGCAGCGTACTTTCGAACGCCAGAGTGGGGCAGCTGAGGACTTGAACAGGACCGCGGCGCAAGAAGAAATCTGGGCCAGCGCTTCTGAAGAAGAAACGCTGGCACAGATTTGGGAGAGGAGGCTTCTTCATCAGGTGCTCGACTCCACACCAGGAGCGCGCCGCACGAGGGCGGCGCCCCCGTCGGAGCCGCGGGAGAGCCCCGAAGGGTCCAGCCCATCAGCGCCGCTCCGCCCGAGAGGCTTCAGGCCCGCCCCGGCCTCGCGGAGGGCCGCCACCGCGACCTCGCGGAGGCTCGGGCTGCTGCGGAGCTGCTGGGCGATCCTCATCGCCGCCTGCTGGGGAGGGGGGGGCGCTGGCTACCCGCCTGCGCCCATCCCCTGGCCAGGCAAATCCTCGCAGCAGCGTGAAGGTGCAGCAGGCACCTGCGAGAAGAGATCGCGGTATGCGAAATCCTAGGGCACATGACTCGTCGACTTTCGGGGGGGCCCTGCAGTGCCCAGAGCTTCTGTGGGTGTCTTGGCCACTGAGAAATGAGAAAATTCCGTGGGCATCTGGGGGTAATTTTTGATGTGCAGTCAACCCGTATAATAAGGACAGACGATGGGGAGGCAAGGACCCTGGAAGGCCAAGGCGGCACGTTGCCAGCGGGGCGCGGCCAGCGAAAGCGGCCAAGGATGAGCAGAACGAGAAGGATGCAAGGGTGACCTTGGGAAGTCGATCATCCTTCCTGTGCGGGTTGACTGTACCTCCAGTACACGTCGGTCGTAAGAAAAAAACAAACATAAAGTAGGAGAGCAGATGCAGTAGATTGGGCTCAGACTGTCCCAGTTAATCACCAAGCACAACAAAAGCAAATCGATGATTGAAGTAGGAAGGCGCTTGAAGTAGAGTGAGATCTGGGAATCCCTAAATACCTACTTTCAACGACCGACGTGTCTGGGTGCGACTAGCCAAGGGAGAGGGCCCGATGCTCCGAGCATCGCCCACGCCGAAGCCACCGACACGACCTCAAGACCCACCGGCTCCCACAGCAAGACCCTCTCTTCGCGCAGTGGAGAAGTGGAGCTGAAGGCCCGAACGAGAAGCAATGGAGGGTGCAGCTGTCCTCTGAAGGGGCCCAGGGACACACAAATAAGTGGATCCCAGGATTCCCCACATTTTTTCCATATCTCCTGGAGCTTCATCTTCCCCCCCCACTTCCCTTATTTTCCCATATTCTCCGGAGAATTACCGATGAGCTTCGTCCTCCCTCCTGATCCTCGGCGGCCCTGCGGCAAAGGCTGGCTGCCCCAGGTCAGACTACGGCGTGCCGCAGCGGCAGCCCATGGCGACACGCTGCGTGTGCCCTACTTGCTCATGGCGTGTCGCTCCGCTGCGCGGGGCGGGAGGCCGGGGAAGGCTCGGGACGCTGACACCTGGGGATTGGGACGCGGTGAGCGTGTCGCGCCGAAGCGCGGTGGGCCAGACCCGGCGGCGCAGCACGCCACACCCGAGCTCCCGACCGCATAATTTCGGGTGCGCCGACGGCAGGGGCCAGGAAGAGAAAGGCTGGCGCACCATGGCCTGCGGCGCGTGCGCGGGCGAGGGTGGGTGGGCCGGGGGGCAGCCTGAAAGAAGAAGACACGGCCACGGCCATGATATCCGGAAACCTGGAAGATCACGTGGCCCCGGCCATGATATCCACGCACACACACACACACACGCACACACACACACACACACACACACACACACACACACACACACACACACGCGCACGCGCACGCGCACGCGCACGCGCACGCGCACGCGCACACACATACACACACACACACACGCACGCGCACGCGCACGCGCACGCGCACGCGCACACACACACACACACACACACACACACCTGGCCTCACCCCCCTCGTGGACGCCCCCGAGCAGTACGGCCAGGAACTCTCTGGCTCAGCGTGTCGCGGCGGCGGTCCCAGCGACGCACTGTGCCCTGCGAGCGGGCAGCGGGTCGCGCCGCTCCGCGGGTCGCAGGGGGCCTGGCACAGCTCGAGGCGCTGGCACCGGGAGCCTGGGGACGTGGATATCGTGTCGCGCCGGGGCGCGAAGAAGGGGAGGGGGAGGAGGGGGAGGAGGAGGAGGAGGAGGAGGAGGAGGAGGAGGAGGAGGAGGAGGAGGAGGAGGAGAAGGAGGGGGACGAGGAGGAGGAGGAGTAGGAGGAGGACGGGTCGCCTAAGCCCTTCGGAGAAACCCTCCAGCACCTGGAGCCTGAAGGCGTGGCTATCGTGTCGCGCCGGGGCGTGGTGGGCCAGAACCGGCCCCGCGCGACACGCGAAGCCAAAGTTTAGGTCGGGCATGTCCCCCTACAGGCGGGCTTTGGGCGAAAAAATCAAAAAATGATCTAACATATATATATATATACACACACACAAAAATAGCAAACACACACGCAAAACATCGTCCCCCGACAATTTTTTCATCTATTTCTGGATATCCCTCCTGTAGAAGGACACGCCCGACTGAGGCCAAAGTTCCTGACCGGAAGGTCCCCTACGGCAGGCCCGCGCCATGACGTCGGCGCTGGCATCCGGCACCGCGCGGATCGTCCAGCCTGGAGCGGTCGGCGCTTCCCGAGCGCGCCGATCGCTCAACACCGGCCGATCCGCGGCCACTGGCGGCACTCAACCTGGAACGCACGCGCTGGGGCAGCCGCCGCCGCGTCGGCACGACACAAACCTACCGTGATCAGCTTCATGCCTTCGGGCCCGACGAAGCACGCAGCGCTCTGCACCTTCGCGCTCCCAGGCCGT